AAGGCCATATATGACAAACCCACAGCAAACATCATTCTCAATGGTGAAAAACTGAAAGCATTTCCTCTAAGATCAGGAACAAGACAAGGATGTCCACTCTCACCACTACTACTAAACATAGTTTTGGAAGTCCTAGCCATGGCAATCAGAGAAGAAAAAGAAATAAATGGAATACAAATTGGAAAAGAAGAAGTAAAACTGTCACTGTTTGCAGATGACATGATACTATACATAGAGAATCCTAAAGACGTCACCAGAAAACTACTAGAGCTAATCAATGAATATGGTAAAGTTGCAGGATACAAAATTAAGGCACAGAAATCTCTTGCATTCCTATACACTAATGATGAAAAATCTGAAAGAGTAATTAAGGAAACACTCCCATTTACCACTGCAACGAAAAGAATAAAATACCTAGGAATAAACCTACCTTGGGAGACAAAAGACCTGTATGCAGAAAACTATAAGACAGTGATGAAAGACATTAAAGATGATACGAACAGATGGAGAGATATACCGTGTTCTTGGATTGGAATAATCAATATTGTGAAAATGACTATACTACTCAAAGCAATCTAAAGATTCAGTGCAATCCCTATGAAATTACCAATGGCATTTTTTACAGAACTAGAACAAAAAATCTTAAAATTTGTATGGAGACACAAAAGACCCCTAATAGCTAAAGCAGTCTTGAGGGAAAAAAACGGAGCTGGAGGAATCAGACTCCCTGACTTCATACTATACTACAAAGCTACAGTAATCAAGACAGTATGGTACTGGCACAAAAACAGAAACATAGATCAATGGAACAAGATAGAAAGCCCAGAGATAAACCCACGCACCTATGGTCAACTAATTTATGACAAAGGAGGCAAGGATATACAATGGAGAAAAGGCAGTCTCTTCAATAAGTGTTGCTGGGAAAACTGGACAGCTACGTGTAAAAGAATGAAATTAGAACACTCCCTAACACCATACAAAAAAATAAACTCAAAATGGATTAGAGACCTAAATGTAAGACCGGACACTCTAAAACTCTTAGAGGAAAACATAGGAAGAACACTCTTTGACATAAATCACAGCAAGATCTTTTTTGATCCACCTCCTAATGGAAATAGAAACAAAAAAACACAAATGGGAGCTAATGAAACTTCAAAGCTTTTGCACAGCAAAGGAAACCATAAACAAGACGAAAAGACATCCCTCAGAATGGGATAAAATATTTGCAGACAAATCGATGGACAAAGGATTAATCTCCTAAATATATAAACAGCTCATGCATCTCAATATTAAAAAAACAAACAACCCAATTCAATAATGGGTAGAAGACCTAAATAGACATTTTCCAAAGAAGACATACAGATGGCCAAGAGGCACATGAAAAGCTGCTCAACGTCATTAATTATTAGACAAATGCAAATCAAAACTACAATGAGGTATCACCTCACACCAGTTAAAATGGGCATCATCAGAAAATCTACAAACAACAAATGCTGGGGAGGGTGTGGAGAAAAGGGAACCCTCTTGCACTGTTGGTGGGAATGTAAATTGATACAGCCACTCTGGAGAACAGTATGGAGGTTCCTGAAAAAACTAAAAATAGAATTAACATATGATCCAGCAATCCCACCACTGGGCATATACCCAGAGAAAACCATAATACAAAAAGAAACATGCACCCCAATGTTCATTGTAGCACTATTTACAATAGCCACGTCATGGAAGCAACCTAAATGCCCATCGACAGATGAATGGATAAAGAAGTTGTGGTACATATATACAATGGAATATTACTCAGTCATAAAAAGGAAAGAAATTGGGTCATTTGTTGAGACGTGGATGGATCTAGAGACTGTCATACAGAGTGAAGTAAGTCAAAAAGAGAAAAACAAATATCATACATTAATACATATATGTGGAACCTAGAAAATGGCACAGATGAACTGGTTTTCATGGCAGAAATAGAGACACAGATGTAGAGAACAAACGTATGGACACCAAGGGGGTAAAGCAGCGGGGGCAGGGGGTGGAGATGTGATGAATTGGGAGATTGGGATTGACATGTATACACTGATGTGTATAAAATGGATGACTAATAAGAACCTGCTGTATAAAAAAATAAATTAAATAAAATTCAAAAATTAAAAAGAAAAAAAAAATTAATAGTTGCTAAAACTACTGTAGCCTTGATACAAATCAAGGCATTGACACCAAACTCACAGGAAAGAAATTGTTTCACTTAGAAAAGTCCTGAAAATAGTTTAAATTGTTAATTTTATTAAAACCCAATCTTTGAATACATGTTACTTAAATATTATTTGTGGCAAAATGGAAAAGATGCATAAAGAACTTCTACTGTACCTAATTATGAGGGTACAGTACATGTTTTTTCTTGAGAAAAAACAATTGTTTGAGTTGTAAGTCAGTGTTGATGCCTTTTTCCTGGAACACTGTTTTTACTTGACAGAATAACTGCCAAACAAACTATGGTTATTCAGGCTAAGATACTTGGCAGACATTGTCTCAAAAATGAGCAGAGGGCCTATTACTTCCAGGAAAACAAACGGCATTATTTGTTACCAATGAAAAAATTTGGGCTTTCAAACGAAAATTAAAATTTTGGAAGACAAATTCACTACCATGAACTTGAGATCACTGGTAATATTAATAAATTTGACTTATTAATATGTTATAGTGAAATGTGAGTATTTTTAAGACATGTACACTCAGAGAACCATTGTTTTGTAAATTTCCAATGTCTGATGTTATAAAAATCATGTATGGGTACCAGATACATTTAAAGGATACATAGACCAATGGGTTTTAATGTAACAGAGTATAAAACATTCATTGATAGGATTTCAGGTTCCAAGTGCAATTAACATTTAAGAAATGACTGCTTTTCAAGATTTGGTGTAGCATCAAAGAACATCCAAAATTATCTGAGAAGACTATTAAAACACTCCTCAACTACATAATTTTTTTCAACTACATAACTGTATGAGGCTGGAGTTTCTTCATAGATTTCAACCAAAGCAACATAAAGCAACATATTGAATGAAGAAGCAGAAATGAGAATCTAGCTGCTTTCTACTAAACCAGACATCAAAAGAGATTTGCAAAAACATAAAACAGTAACACTCTTTTCAATAATTATGTTTCTTGGAAATGGATTTTTAAATAAACATATATGGTAACATGTAATGGTTTTGTTGTAATTTTAAATGGATAAATAAATATTTCAAAATTTCTCAGTTTTGATGTTTGGATTCTGTGACTGTCGATCGACCCAGTCCCGTTAAACAAAAGCTCTTCAGAGTCCTCAATAGTTTGTTAGAGTATAAAATGTTCCTGGGACCAAAGTCTGAGAACCAGTGATAAAGGTGAACATCACTTTCCTGATGATACTAGAGCTTCCTGTTTGGGGTTTCAGCATAGGGGGCATCATTCATCGCGTGCAGCAGTTCACAGCATAATTAGCATGAGTTCTGAAGTACTACAGCATCATCCCTGCATACAGTAGAGGCACAATACATTTTTATTCTTCATTTCTTTTTTTTTTTTTTTGCGGTACGCGGGCCTCTCACTGTTGTGGCCTCTCCCATTGCGGAGCACAGGCTCCGGACGCGCAGGCTCAGCGGCCATGGCTCACAGGCCCAGTCGCTCCACGGCATGTGGGATCTTCCCGGACCGGGGCACGAACCCGGGTCCCCTGCATCGGCAGGCGGACTCTCAACCACTGCGCCACCAGGGAAGCCCTATTCTTCATTTCTTAAAACTGGAAATGATCGGAGGGAAAACGTGCACAACTCTTTTGCTGTTGTTGCTTAAATTTTACATCTCAAAATTGATGCAGGGAAAGGAAAAGAGTTCTGAAGATGGAAACTGGTGATGGTTGCACAACAATAGGAATGTACTTAATGCCACTGAACTGTAAGCTTCAAAATGGTTACGGTAAAATGTAAATTTTATGTTACATGTATTTTAACACAATAAAATATTGGGGAAGAAAAGAGCATTAGGCCATATAACTTTTGTTTTAAAAACAGCACATGCAATTCTTAAGAAGGAAGATAGAATCATTCTAGTGTTAGAAGTACCCTTACAGCCCAGTGTTCCAAGTAAAAATAACTGCATTTATGGACGTTCCTCTCCTTTCCCTGCTCATCCCCACTCCCACTTCCAGATAACTTTAAGGCTAAGGGAATATATATTGTGATATTGGTTCATGTTCTACAGCTACAGGTACCCAGATGCCCAAATCAAGGGGTAACCTTTATAAATTAAAAAATTAGCATCTGTTCATCCATAAAGAAAAGAAGAAAATCCTTCCATCTGTGACAACGTTAATGAACCTGGAGGACATTATGCTAAGTGAAATAAGCCAGACAGAAAAAGACAATACTGCATGATCTCACTTATATGTGGAATCTAAAAAAAGTCTAACTCATAAAGCCAGATAGTAGAATAGTGGTTACAAGGGGCTTGTGGGGTCAGGAACATGGGGAGAGGCTGGTCATAGGATATAAACTTTCTGTCATAAGCTGAAAAAGGTCTGGGGTTCTGACACACAGCATAGTGACTATAGTTAGTAATAGTGTATTGTACACTTGGAATTTGCTAGGAGAGTAGATCTGAAGTGTTTTTACCACACCAAAAAAAAAAAAAAAAAGAAAGAAAAAAAAGGCAACTATGGGAGGTGATGGATGTGTTTCCCTTGGTTGTGATAATCATGTCACAATGTATATGTATGTCAAACCATCACGTTGGTCATCCTAAATATACCATACGATTGTTGTCAATTATGCCTCAATAAAGCTGGAGAAAAATTCAGCACCTGTTTTCATATTATTAAGATACTGTCATGTTAAAAGACCGTTTTGAATTTATAATTACAAAAATTAAAATGATCATGATAAAAAATTTAAAAATTGAAGCAAGGGGTCTCTTCTCTCTTTAGGAGAGTCAGTCGGGCTGTTCAGAGTTCTACTCCCACAGCTGTTTCCTGCCAGCTGGGCAACTGGGGAGAGTGGACAGATTGCTTTCCATGCCAGGAGAAAAAGGTGAGACATTTATGACCAATTTTGGAGCATTTAACATTTAAATTGTGTACTAGGCATTCAACTGGAGATAAACAGTCACGTCTATAAATCTAGAGGCCTGGGGAGAAAAGGGTATTCAGAAGCCATACGCACGTGGCTGGTGGAACTTATTTCTGCCTCTTCTGATTTTGTTTGTAAGGCATTTGGATGAGGTTGCAAAAGATGTGTATGTTACGGCTTAGATGCAGAAAAGTGGCACTCCGGACATGGGCACACTGATCCCCACTGGCCACTCTGGGTCCTGGCCTATGTATTACCTTCCAATGAGGGTCATCTGGAGGGACCAATGGCTTAGGAACAAAATGCCAAGCTGTCCATGACCTATGAGGAACTGAGATAAACCAAAGCGTGTCACACAGGGTGTTCCTGAGGATTTCACTCTCATGCACTGAAAAGGCTGACACGCCCAATGAACAGATGTGTATCTATCTTGCCCATCTAAGTGGTTTTAATTGGTCCAAGATGATCGCTAAACTCAGTGGCATAAGGGGGATGTTGAGAGCGCTCGGCTCTGTCAGGGAGGAGTATTACAATTCCGTCTTTGTTCAGAATCACTGGCTCATGGTGACAATAGAAAGAAGACTAACTTCTATTCTGTTTTCTTAGTATTTTATCTTTTTTTTTTTTTTTTGCGGTATGCGGGCCTCTCACTGCTGTGGCCTCTCCCGTTGCGGAGCACAGGCTCCGGACGCGCAGGCTCAGCGGCCATGGCTCACGGGCTCAGCCGCTCCGCGGCATGTGGGATCCTCCCGGACCGGGGCACGAACCTGCGTCCCCTGCATCGACAGGCGGACTCTCAACCACTGCACCACCAGGGAAGCCCTGTTTTCTTAGTATTTTAAAATCTCTGCAGACGACACATGCCTTTACTGGATGCACCCAGGGTGGGTGCAGCCCAGACGTGGTACCTCACTGCCGAACCTTGTCTATTAGCCTATTGCTGTCAAGCCTGTTTTTCTGCAGCTTAGATTCTGGCTTGCACCTTATTTGCTGTGTTACTTTGGACATAATTTTTACCCTCTCTGTGCCTCTGATTCCTAATCTATAAATGGGAGTTGAAACAGTACTTACACCATAGAGTTATTGAGAGCGTTAAATGAGTAATGCATGCAAAGTGCTTTTCATGGCATCTGGCACAAAGTAAGTGTTCAATAAATGTGAGCTGTTTCTATACTTCCTATCTGTGCCCTCCTCTCCAACCTCACTCCCACTGCCTTGAATCAAGCCCTGCTCTTCTCTCACTGATAGTCCTCCTGCCTCCAGACCCCCTCCTCAGTTAGATGCAAAAGTGCCCTGTGGGGCTTCCCTGGTGGCGCGGTGGTTGGGAGTCTGCCTGCCGATGCAGGGGGTGCGGGTTCGTGCCCTGGTCCGGGAGGATCCCACATGCCACGGAGCGGCTGGGCCCGTGAGCCACGGCCGCTGAGCCTGCGCTCCGCAACGGGAGAGGCCACAACAGCGAGAGGCCCGCGTACCGCAAAAAAAAAAAAAAAAAAAGTGCCCTGTGAAGTTTTGATGACACTGGCAGAAACACCATTTGGAGCTAGTTTATTCAACTTTGAAGGCTAAAGTTTATGATTTTGCCTCTCCCATCTCTAGGATATGCCAAAGAATCTTAGATGTCCCAGTTTAAAAATATCTGGCCCCCAATTCTCATTCTGCTTTGACATCCTGGATTCATTTTCTGAGCCTGCTGTAACAAACGCCAAAGACTGGTTGGCTCGGAACAACAGAAATGTATTCTCTCAAGAGTTCTGGAGACCAGAAGTCTGCAATCAAGGTGTCAGCACGGCCAGGCTCTCTCTGGAAGCTCTAGGGGAGAAGCCGTTCTTTGCTCCTTCCAGCTTTTGGTGGCTGCCTTGCTCCAATCTCTGCTCCTGTCTGCATCACCCCTTCCCTTCTCTGTGTCTCCTTTATGTGTCTATGTGAACTCTCCCTCTGCTTTCCTCTTATAAGGACACTGTGATGGCATTTAGGGTCCTCCTGGATAATCCAGAATAATTTCTCCAAATTAATGATGTCTGCAAAGATCCTTTTTCCAAATAAGATAACATTTACAACTTTCAAGGATTAGGACTTAATTTCTTTGCATGGCCTTTAGTCAACCTATTATACATTTAAACAGCATCCTAAAGCTACATTTTTCTCTTGTGCTGCTGTTTAGATAGCAGATAGCACAGGTGAATGACTTACAGTTTAAATCAACGTTTATTACTTTCTTAGGGACTCAAAAAGACATGTGTCTTTAAAGTAATCCTTAAAATAATTAAATTCTGTTAATTTTTTAACTGAAAGACCATCTGAGTTTCTTTCTATTAATATTTTTCTTCCTCTCAAAATCACTCAATCAATGACGTGCATTTCTGGAAAGAAACATTTTCTACTAGCTAGAAAAGAAAATTATGTCTTAACGATACCAACCACGGGTAATGGCACGGAGAGGTCCCAAGGGAAGTATCCTCACCAACCTTTCTGCAATACAATGTCTTCCTTATTTGATAACAACCTAGAAAATAAGGAGCGGGTGGGAATGAACCTCATGTCTGCACCATCATTCCAAGTACAGAAACCACAGGAAGGATGATAATGACAATATATAGTCGCCATTATTAAATAATTTCTGTATACCAAGGACTGTGCTAATGCTTTAAATAAATCATCTTCTTATTTGACTTTCACAGCCAACAGTAGGTGACAGACACCACTCAATCCCTTTGCTTAGTTTGCCCAGTAAGAATGTGGTAGAGCCTCGATTTAAAACTTGGTCAGTCTGATTCCAAAATGCCCATGAACCTGAGCTATATGCCTCTCCTGCCTCTCCCGGAGCTATATGGAGAGTAGTAAGTGATATTAGACGTCACCTAATCCAATTCCCACTCAGTCATAATCCTTCCAGAGTAGCCCAACAGCTAGCTACGAGGATGATGACGATGTTGATAACTATTATTACTAAGCGCATACCAGAACCATGCAGAATGCTGATGTCTTTACCTGTGTTATCACTAATCTTCAGAACACTCTCATCTCTCTCATCTTACAGACGAGAAAACCGAGGGTCAGAGACGTTAAGTAATTTACCCAGTGACACATATACCGTAAGTGGCAGAACTGAAATTCTAACCCAGCTTAAAATGGGATCATTAATAGTACTTAACCCCCTAGACTTGTGAGGATTAACTGACATAAAGAATGTAAAGGGTTTGGGCCATAGTAAGCACTCAATAACTGGTAGCTACCATCACCATCATCACCATGATGGTAACTTCAGGTCTTATAACTGATGAATGTTTTCAAGGTTGAGAAAGAGAATTGGCTATACATTTGTATCATGAGCTCTCTTTTATTTACTGCATTGTAGGGCAAGAGAGTGGGTAGAAAATGAAAATATCCTCCTATTCCCATACTGATCGCTAATTATAATCTCTTCTCACCTAGTTTACAAATCTTTTATTGCTGTTATTAACTAAAAGTCAGGGAAGGTAAATGGGCAGGTTGGATCCTCACTTCTTTTTGCTACCTCTGCCTCTTTGCTAAGAGGGAGTTAAGTAGGGAGAAGTGGGCAAGAGGAAATGGAGGGGAAGCGTCACACTCAGCCCTGGAAGCATCTGGAAAAGGCTGCACTGATAATGATGCGGAAACCACTTCCATTTATTGAGCACCAGTGATATGCCAGGCCCAGGGCTAGGTGTGTCCTCAGACCTTCTGTCACTTAGTTCTCACAAAACCCTTTCGAGGTAAGGTCCCATCATACCCATTTTACATACTAGACAGTGGTCGCTCAGAAAAGATAAGTAACTTGCTCATGGGCAGTTGGTCAGTGAATCCAGGATTTGGCCCTAAGTTGGTCTAATCTCATGCCTGTGCTCTTTCAACTATAGGACACAGGCGAAGGAATCCTAAGTAATTGTGATTAGTGAGGTCAACTAAGCCACCTCATTTTATAGATTGGGAAAGTGAGGCAGAAAGTGCCAGGCTCTGATAACTTTACCCAGCAAGTAATAAATAGATTCAGGTCAGGAGCTCAATCCGCTTACTTCTCAAATCATTGCCTTCCTATTTACTTATTAACAGTTTTGAAGCTAGGGCCTGTGGGCTAAGAGACGGCAGAAAATATGGTGCTGACTGACACTCCGTGTGAAGCTCTTCATACAGCATGTTTTATATTGTTATATTTTTTATCTCCTCAACCATCTCTAAGCTTCTTAAAGACAGGGATGGAACTTCAATTTCTTGGAATATCTTACTGTTCGGCTTCTTCCTGATACGCTAGTATCTAACACTGTACACCCTAGAGAAGACAGTGTCATAAAAACATTGAGCCCAAGGCTGGTATGCATTTTTATTGTTTCTCTCCTTCCTTCAGTAAGTATTTATTCATCTGCAGTCAGAGCTGGACACAGGGTCTCAGATGATGTCTTCAGAGCTCTTTTTGTCTCTCTAATTGTTGGATGGGCTCTTTCTATAATAGGCAAGATGACCACTTGATACCCACAATTCCCAGCAACTTCAGCTAAAAAGAAACTATCTTTTCCAATAGTTCTGAAAGAAACTTCCCAGAGATGACTATGATTTGCCCTAAGGTCGAGTCATGAACCAATCATTGCAACTTGGCACATGACTGGTACTCTGGTTGCCCTGCCTCGTTCACATCCACACGTCCTGTGACTGAGGGGGTGACGTCACCCCCACCTGAACCATACGAGACATGCCACAAGGAAAGAGGAAATGCCATGACCAGAAGAAATTCTTCAAAGGAAAAGTAATAAACATCTTTTTAAAGGTGACTACCATGTAACTGACCATAGATCAAGTGCCAAGTATATGAAGCCAAATAAGACGTGGCCCTCCCTTTGCTGACCCTAACCCTATGTGCAAATTTTCCCTAAACTAGTGAGAAACGTAAACAAAGAAGTGGACAATCAATCACAACCTTATACGACAAGTGCTAGGAGAGAGGGTACATAGGGAACTGAGAATATATTACTTAGTTAGAGAAGTCTGTTCCCGAGGAGGTAAACTGTGAGTCTTGAAAGATGAATAGGTACTAACTGGCTTCAGAAGGGAGAGACAGAGGTTGTTCCTAGCAAGTAGGAAGACCCTAGAAATAACTAGTCCAAACCTCTCATTTGATGTTTGGAGGCCCTACTCAATATTCCAGCTGGTGACAGTGCCACCTCTGGTTGAACACCGCCATTTATGATCACTCATCCCTGCAAAAGACAGCTTTGCAGGCAGCTCTCAATCATTAGACAGTCATTCCTTATGTTAAGCTGAGACCTGCCTGCACCGATCTCAGTTGATTGATAGACAATGAATGTGTCTGGTTCCAAATCTGATTTAGTACAGATACCGGAGCCTCCTGCAGCCTAACAAGTTCGGGGGAACCATCTGCAGTGGGACTGTCTGGGACCAAGCCAGCTGTCACGGTCCCACAGCTTGTGTGAAGCAAGCACAGTGTGGACAGGATTTCCAGTGTAAGGAGACAGGTGAGTAGCATCTCAGAAGGATAACAGCTGTGCCTGTCAAACTTAATATGCAAAACAGTTCTCCAGGAGCTTGTTAGAATGCAGGCTCCTGAGCCCTTCCCCTAGAAGTTGTTGTTCTGGGGTTTGGGATGGGACCCAGGAAGCTGAATTTTAAGCCAAGTCAGCAGCCCAAGTAAATCTGAGGCAACTTTGCTGGAACACCCATTGAGTTGGAAAAGGTACAATTCACTCATCCATCCATTCATTGAGTAAATGCTGATTGGGTACGTATGATGGCCAGACAATGTGCTACCTGCTGGTGATGCAGAGGTGAAAAGTCCTTGTGCCTGATCTCAGAGTACTCCTAGTCTCTTTGGGAGACAGACCTATAAGGAATCAATTACAGTGTCCTGTGATAGCCAGTGTAATGGGTGTATGTACAGGGTCCAATGTACGGACTCTGGCGGGGGCGCCTAAATCTGCTTTGGGCAGTCAGGGCAGGATTCAACATGGTACTTGAGCTGAGACTTAGAAAATGAAAAAGAGTTTGCTAGGAGACAGAATGTGCAAAAACGCAGAGATTTAGGGACTCACAACGAGCCCAGAATAAGTGCTTTGGGAAGAGAGGCAGGGGATGGGCCAGGTAGGTTACTGGGGGCCAGACAGTGACATTTGGAAGCAGAGGAATGGGGAGGTCCTGAAGGATGCAGAGCAAGGGATGACATGGCCAGACTGGAATTTTAGAAAGATCCCTGGGGCTGCAATGTGGAGACTGAATTAGAAAGAGCAAGCCTGGGGCAGGGTCTGAGCTGGGGGGCTACAGGTGAGAGACATGGAGGCTGGAGGGAGGGCAGAGGCAGTGAGGATGGAAGGAGGATGGAACAGGACTGGGAGGATCGAAGGGCTATTTCAGGGGTGGAACGGACTTGGTGACTATGGATGCAGGTCATGAGGGAGGGGGAGGAGTCCCGGACACTCTAGAAGCATCCACGGCCTCTCCTCAGGTCGCTGCCTGAAACGCCACCTGGTGTGTAATGGAGACAATGACTGCCTGGATGGCTCTGATGAGGACAACTGTGAAGACATCAGGGTCTTGGAAGATGACTGCAGCCAGTATGACCCAATTCCAGGATCAGAGAGGGTGGCCTCGGGGTGAGTCGCTGCCGGCTGGCTGTCGGGAGCAGGGCATGATTTCTCTCCAATCATGAGTATTAGTTTCAGGGAAAGAAGAGGGTGTTTGGGGGGAATCTCTCTGGAGTGTATCCTGTGAGGCCGTCCTCACCATCCCTCTAAGTGGCTTAGTCCATCTGGGCTGCTCTAACAAAATACCACACACTGGGTGGCTTATCAACAACAGAAATGTATTTCTCACAGTTCTGAGGCTGGTAGTCTGAGATCAGGGTGTTAGCCTGGTCAGGTGAGGGTGTTCTTTCAGGCCGCAGACTTCTCGTTGTGCCCTCACATGGTGGAAGGGGCTAGGGAGCTCCATGGGGTCTCCTTGATAAGAGCACTGATGTCATTCACGAGGGCTCCACTCTCATGACCTAAGCGCCTCCCAAAGGTCTCCCTCCAAATACCACCACACGAGGGGTTAGAGTTTCAACATATGAATTTTACAGGACATAGCTCATGTTTTCCCCTTTATGTCTCTGCCCAAGGGTCCTCCTTTCACCCTTTACCACTCTACTGCTCATTCCTCTGGCCCCAATTCCATTTCCAAGGCCCTTTTAAGAGGCTACACCTTCCATGAAGGCTTCCAATATCCCCAAAAGACAGCACTTCTCTGGCCCAAGTGCACTTTCCAGTAGCCCTGTTCTTACTCTGCTTTGCACTGTGGTTGCTGATATAACCAAGGCCTTAGGGTGAGATGGGGTGGGGCTTGAATCTCCACTTTGCCATTGCTGGCTTATAACTCTCAGGCCAGTTTCTTTATCTGTTGAGATTCAATCAGCCTCAATTCTAACTCTACTTCACTGTGCACCTTATGTTCATGTTTAGTCCCTTGCACACATCATACTCTTTTCTTCTCACTTCATAAAGTTAGTTCCTTCTTTCTGAAATGTCCTCCCCTGTATTCCTAACTGGTTAACTTTTTGCCTAGTGTTGTGCCCTAAATTGTATCTCCCTAAAACTTGTAATGTTGAAGCCCTAACCCCCAATATGGTCGTATTTAGAGATAGGGCCTTTACAGAGGTAATTAAGGTCAAATGAGCTCATAAGGGTGGGGCCCTAATCCAATAGGACTGGTGTCCTTGTAAGAAGAAGAAGAGACACCGGAGAGCTCTCTCTCACCTCTCACCATGTGCACAGAGAAGGGGCCATGTGACGCTATGGCGAGAAGGTGGCCATCTGCAACCCAGGAAGAGAGGCCGCACCGAAACCAACCCTGATGGCACCTTTCTCTTAGACTTCTAGCCCCCAGGACTGACAGAACATAAATGTCTATTCTTTGAGTCATCCAGGCTTGGGTATTGTATTGGGTATGGTACTTTGCTATGACAGCCCAGCTAAGACACCTAGGCATCACCTCCTTTAGCTGGTCTTTTTGACACCCCCTCCCCTCCTCTCAACACTGTCTAGGCTGGCTTAGTCCCCTCCTACTGTTCCCAGCGTCCCTGTGTGTCCTACTCTCCCAGGACTTATCCAACAGGGCAGAGACATCTGTTCCCCAGGCTAAGGGGTCCTCATCATTTTCTGCTTCTCCAGCATCCAGCACAGGGCCACACTCATAGTGACACATGGTATTGTTAGTTCCCTGACACTTTGCTTTGGGCCTTGTCCTCTGACTTGAGTATAAACTCTTTGAGGGCCGAGGCTGCTCTGATTCATCTTTTTCATCTCCTCAGCCCTTATGTCAGAGCTTTCCCCATAACAGCCTCGTAACTGAGTATTGATTGCAGTGAAACAAATCAATATGACCAACTGGACCTTTACAGATGAGGAAACAGAGAGAGACAGTACTCATCACACAGTGACCCAGCCACATGGCAGCCCACTCTGGGTCAGGTGTGGGTGCTGTAAAATGCAGCTCTCATTCATTGAGGTTTAATTACGTTCAGATCACAGCCCACAAGGCCTAAAGTATTTACTATCTGGCCCTTTGTAAAAAATAAAATAAGATTTTAAATTAAAAAAAAAAAGATTTCCTACAAGATAGGACAGAATCCTGTAAATGCATGTAGACACACACGTATGAAAAGATGATCAAATTCCTGTTTCTTTTAGACCAATAATATTCGTTTTCTTGGACTGCCATAACAAAGTGCCACAAACTAAGTGGCTTAATCAATAGAAATTTATTTTCTCAGGAGGTTAGAAGTCTCAGAATCAGGTCTCAGCAGGATTGCTTTTTCTGAGGCCTCTCTCCTTGGCTTGTGAATGGCCGTCTTCTCCCTTTGTTGTCACATGGTCTTCCCGCTGTACATGGCTGTGTCCTAACTTCCTCTTCTTAGAAGGATACCAGTCCTACTGGATTAGGGCCCTCCCTAATAACTTCATTTTAACTTAATTACCTCTTTAAGCATCCTATCACCAAAACACAGTCAAATTCTGAGGTTTTTGGAGTCAGGACTTCAACATACAAATATTGGGAGAACATATTTCAGCTTCTAACACCAATAAAAGGGGATTCTTGTTGATTTTCAAAGTGACTGTGGGATAAACAGACTACAAGCATGAAATATTGAGGTTTTGACTTGAAAAACAATTCCCTCGTAATTGACAAAAATATCACAGACCATGACCCTGCTCTCATATGATTCAATCAGGAGATTTCAAAGGTACTTGCTGATTCGTGTGCTTTGCCACACCTAACACTGAAACCGGTAGAATGGGCCCACCTCCACTCCCAGCAGCTGACATTATGGTGGTTTTTCATTCATCTCAAGATCTCAGAGGCCTTTCCTGATATCTTATTTTTTCTAATTTAGGCATTTCCCAGTTTTTAATTTTTATTTATTGTTACAGAAGTAATGCCTATTTGAGGTAAAAACTGAAATTCTTCCTTCACTATCCCTCACCTGGTCCCACCCACTCACCCTCTCTCTCTTCCCTCCCTAGAGCTGACCCCTGTTACGTGATTTCACAATCATGTAAAAATGCATTGACAACATACACTGTATGGAAGGTATGCCTATCAGGTATATTGTGCATTATAGACATAAGTGTATTTTACATAAATGTGATCAGACTACATATTGTCCATAACTTGCTTTTTTCACTTAATAATATATTTTGAAGATTTTCCTCCCATATCTTCTGTTGTCTTTTTCTAGGCAGCATAGTGTTCCTTAACAGGGGTCAGCAGACTATGGCCTGAACACCAAATTCAGTCTGCTGTCTATTTTTAAATAAAGTTTTATTGAAACACAGCTTCTGCCCTACAGTGGAAGAGTTCAGTAGCTGCAACAGAAACCTACGTAGCCTACAAGGCCTAAAGTATTTACTATCTGGCCCTTTGTAAAAAATAAAATAAGATTTCCCAATTCTCCTATAGTATAACTATATAATTTATTTAACTACCTCCTATTGAAAGATAATTAGATTGTTTTCCATTTTTCTCTTATAGACAGTGCTGCAATGAACATTCTTACATACATAGTTTTTTACCCATGTGTGAATATTTCTAAATTCCGAAAAGTAGAATGTCTCTCTTTATTTTCACTGGGGCTTCTGCAATCACATTTTTAAAATATATATAGGCTTTACTTACGGTTAGAGGTTACATTACAATCTTAGGGCTTATTGTTCTTTAGAGTTTTTCTTTGGCCCATTAGAGGGCCTGTATTTATCAGCTACAGGCAGAAACATGTTCCACAGGGGGAAAGATAGAAACTGCAGGGTAAAGACTAAGAACCCAGATTGTAGTGTCAAAAAAAATCTAGGAAAAAAATCCAGCTATGACTATAGGCAAGGTACTTAATTTTTCTGAGCTTCAATTTTTGCATTTGCAAAATTGTCATGAGGTTGAAAGTTAACGTATGCTAGATGTCTGGTATAGTGTGTATTCAATTCATCATAGCTATTATTACATCACTTCCACTAATGTTAAGAAAGAGATGGGGAAAGGAAGAGAAGAAGGAAGTGAACTTACATTGAATTTCTACTATATGCCAGGTGGCTCTACAATTATCCATTTATTCCTTTGAAGTAGGTTTTATTCACAGTTTTTCCCCTGCTCATCTACCTTTGTGCCCTTTCACAGAGGACATAAATGAACATGACAAATGCCATGCCAGAGGCAATCACTGAATGCCATGGGAACACAGAGGAAGGACAATCGTCTGTCCAGGATAATCAAAGAAGGCAATACAGAGGACGCAACATTTGAGTTGGGTCTTAAAGGCTGAGTAGGAGTTTGAGAGGCAAAGACAAGCAATCATTTTATTATCCACAATATATGAGGCTTAGATTGTTAGGTCTTATAACTCTTAGCCAACTTTCAATGATTTTGTTCGGTTAACTTTCTCTTTGTATGAGATTAAAGCAGATTTTCACCTGTTTCACATGATTTTTACCTAAATATGGTTAAACCATCCATGACCTAAAACAGAGAACTTGGGCAGATAGATTTGAAATACCCCAGAGAGGGAAGTATGGGAAATATTTCTGGGAAGATATTGGGCTAGGGGAAAAGAAGTATTACTATCAACTGTACTTCTGTTTTATTCTGATACTCTCATTTAGACTTCACAAAACCCAGGAGAGGTAGTTTTACTATGTCTGTTTTTCAAATGAGGAAAATGAGCTTCAGGAAGTTTCTAGAATGTGTCCAAAGTCACATAGCTAGTAAATGACAGAGCTGGAAATTAAGCAGGCGTCTCCCTGACCTCCACACTGTGCCTCCTCCACGCCAAGGCCTTTCTGAGGATTAGATCATCAGCTTACCACTATGAACTACACCCAATACTTCAAACCTATTTTTTAGCAGCAAAACCTTTTCCGAAATCATACTAACAAAAACAACAGCGACATTTATTTAACACTTCATATACGCTAAGTACTGTTACTTGTTTTAACTCATAGTTTAACTCTGTGAGGGCTGTAGTATTAGCTGCTTTTTACAAATGATTACACTGAGGCACAGAGAGGTTAAATGATCTGCCCAAGGTCACACAGCTAGATGTGGCAGAGATAGGAAACGGGTCCAGACTGTCTGGTTCCTGTGCTTGGACTCTTGATAATCATGCATATTCTTCTTCAATTTACTCAACAAATATTTAGAGGTGCCTCCCATGTGGGAGCACTGTTATAGATGCTGAACGGAGTTGTCTGGCTGATCTGGTCTAAGGGAACCTGGGGGCCCAGGCCCAGTCCACTCAGTCTCCCATTGTTGCCCAAAGTGGCCCTTAAGGTACTTCAAGGAAATCTGGGGTTCCACAGAACACAGTTTGAGAAATCCTGCTCAGCCCACCAGCTACTCATGGTCCAGAGGATATTTTGTGCTATCTCTGCTCTTCCAATGCTCTCTCCCAGAAGCTGCTTGCCTTTTCAATTTAGGTATAATGTTCTGACCCAGAAACAAGCTCAGAGCGTATACGATGTCAGGTATTATGGGGGCCAGTGTGAGACCGTATACAACGGGGAATGGAGAGAGCTTCGGTATGACCCCACCTGTGAGCGTCTCTACTATGGAGATGATGAGAAGTACTTCCGGAAACCCTACAATTTCCTGAAGTACCACTTTGAGGTAAGTCTGAACAGGGGTGCTCACAGGCCACTGGGTGGGTGCAGGGAGGGGAAGCTGTTGGTGGAGATAGCTGCCTTGCTTTGGAAGACCTTATTTCCTGTGGGGTTTGCTGGTGGCTGAAGGTCCCACTGCACCTGCCCTCACGCATGCTTAGTGCTGAAGGGGCAACAGCAGGGCCAGTGAGCCGCATACTGTAAATGGGACCAGCCCCTGCTAGATCTCGGCTCCAGTCCTAAGTCAATAAAATAGATTCGGGGCCTGATTTTCTAGGCTGCTTGTCAGAAGACCTATTTCCAGGTTTTGACTCTATTAGAATAGATGTATATCAGACCTTGAGCAGCTCACTGCCCCTCCGCGGGCCCAGGTTACTAAGATGTAAAGTGGGGGCAGGACAGGAGGTGGCTGGGGGTTCTGAGAACTCTGCTCCTGCTTCACCGGGAGCTGGTCCTCACTGGTGACCTTCATCTCTTGACTTTCTGTCCATGATTTTGTTGGAAGAAAGGGTTCCGCTATTGCAAAGTGCTTGCAAACTGTTGATGATCCCTAAGAGTCTCTCTCTTTAAAATTCTGCCGTCTCCTGGTCAGCCTGTAGCTCACAACGAGCTCCAGAGCCTGCTCCTGGCCATTCCTTTCTTCACCTCTCACCCTCTGGGTAAGCCGTCTACACAGCAAACCTCACTGCAGGCTTACCATGTGTCAGCTCTTCTATTTTCACACAAATTCTCCCACCGAACCCTCATCACAAGACGATGTGTCAGATATTATTATTGGCCCATTTTAGATATTAAAAACCCCAGAGACTTAGAGGGATAAAGTGCCAGGCTCAGTAGGTAAGCCCAGACAAGATTTAAATCCAGATCTATCTGAACTAAGCCTGGCTATACGTCTTTTAGAAGGGAGGCTAGATTATGCAAATTCTATCTATGTATCATCCACATTCTATCTATAGAGAGAGATGATAGGATGCCAGTACTCTGAACAGTTATCTAGTCACATCCTCCCTCCCCCAAGTTTCTCAAGAGAAAAATATTGACAGAGGATAAGGCCAGGCTTACTGAGTCTGTTTTTAAGAAACTGGCTCTCACTATTCACAAGAGCCAAGACATGGAAGCAACCTAAAGGTCCATCATAAAGAAGATGTGTTGAATATATACAAAGGAATGTTGCTCAGCCATAAAAAAGAATGAAATGTTGTCATTTGTAGCAACATGGATGGACCTGGAGATTATCGCACTAAGTGAAGTAAGCCAGACAGAGAAAGACAAATACTATATGATATCACTTATATGTGGAACCTAAAAAAATAATACCAATCAACTTATTTACAAAACAGAAACAGACTCACAGACATAGAAAACAAACTGACGGCAACCAAAGGGGAAAGGGGCGTGGGAGGGATAAATCAGGAGTATGGGATTAACAGATACACACTACTATATATAAAATAAACAAGAATTTACTGTATAGCACAGGGAACTATATTCAATACTTTGTAATAACCTATAATAGAAAAGAATCTGAAGCTGTATACCTGAAACTAACACAATATTGTAAGTCAACTACAGTTTAAAAAAAAGAAATTGGCTCTCCCCACCCCACTTCCACCTCTGCCATCAGGCTCCGTCTACGAGCTGGAAGACATAGACAGTGCCATTTTTCTAAACTGGAGGACAGTCTAGGGCCTACGTGTCAGGCAAGATAGACTAGGTTATGCTGTGGCAAAAAGGATTCTGAAATCTCAGTGCTTTGAAGCATCAATGCCCTACTTATTCTACTCATCCTTCCTAAGGTGGAAAAGAAACTCTCATCATCACAGACTCTCAGGACCCAAACTGATGGAGCCTCCATCTCAACACATGCTCTCGTGATTACAGGGCAAACCTCTCATAGGCTCCTAACCCTCATTTCCTTGGCTTACGAGACCACGCCTCAGGTCAAGCTAGCAGAGAAATGCAATCCTGGAATGAAATAACCAAACACTTGTGGGTGGTCCCTAAGCATGCCTCTGCTTAGAACTATCACCACCTGCATGCCTCTGCCCCTTTCCTCCCAGGTCCACGCCTAGACATGGCTTTCTGTATCTCTCCACTGCAGAGCCAAGCAACCATCTGTTCAAGAAGGATAAGCCCGCTGGAAAGAAATACATGCTCAGAACAATATAGCATTTTATCAGAATCGTGTGTGTGTGTGTGTGTGTGTGTGTGTGTGTGTGTGTGTGTGTGTTTAAATAAATATTTTAGCAGTACCACTAAATACTAAGCACTGCTGAATTTTCTGTATTTTCGTATCAATTCGGAATAGCCTTTTAAAAGAGTTATTTATAATAATCTGAAACTTTGGATATTTTACAAAGCAAAGATTTAAATATTAAGTATGAACTGGAATATAATGCTAGTGCCCAAGGCTAACATCTGTGTGATGCTTTTCAGGCCCTGGCAGATACTACAGTCTCCTCAGAGTCCTACGATGATGCAAATGACCTTTATTCTAAAGTGAAAAATGACGAGTCTGTGTCGGCTGGAGTGACCATTGGTGTGGGCGCTGCAGGCAGCCCATTTACTGTGACTGCAGGTGTATCTGGGTCACGAGGCAGTTCGGTCTTGAATATGTTACGCAAATATAATCAGAAGGTATTAAAACATAATGCCCGTGTCACACAGTGTTCCATAATCTATGCTGAACACGTATTACCTTAACTGCATTGAAAAGTACAGTAGTAATTGAACCTTCATTTGCTTGTGTAATTGGACATGTCTGATCAGTAGTAATCATGTTTGTTTTTCTTCTTACGCTTTCCCACGCAGAATCATCACAAAGGGAATAAAATTGCACGATAAGACTAGTACTCTTATCACTTTCCCCATCCTTTTTCATGGTTACCTGGAGCACAGAGGGAAATACTTAGAAGGGTAATGTCTTAAAGAGAAACAGCCAAGCCCTCTAAACCAGACTTGGAAGAATTCTAAAGCAAGCCCGGCTTTTCCAAGTAGTTTGGAGGGCTGGCCTGCTTAATGAATCTTTCATTTCTTCATCAAACATTTACCATTAACTGCTTATTATCCGGAGAGGTCAGACAGTGCATCCTTGAGGAAGTTAGGAAGTCTGTCTAAACTGGGATCTAAAGACTAGTACCAGTTGTCCAGATGAAAGGGGGCAGAAGTTAACAGAAGGCTGTTCTAGGTCTGGGAAACAGCATGTGCAAAGGCCTGGAGACGAGAGACTGCCTCACACAAATGTGGGATTGAAAGGACTTCTGCTGGCTGAAGCACAGGTGGGAAGGGAAAGGAGGGAGTGATGAGGATGGAGAGGTAATCAGGAGCTGGAGAAATATTCACTGAACTGATCAGAAATTTACCGAAAGCCTCAAGACACTGATACCAGAACTGGGGATTTAGTTAGGGCTCAAAACATTATTTTGGATGATGAAAATACAGTTATAAAAATTAACTTCCTCAACACATATAAATTACAGGGCTTACCTGGTGGCGCAGTGGTTGGGAGCCCGCCTGCCGATGCAGGGGTCACGGGTTCGAGCCCCGGTCCGGGAAGATCCCACATGCCACAGGGCAACTAAGCCCGGGCGCCACAACTATTGAGCCTGTGCTCTAGAGCGTGTGAGCCACAACTACTGAGCCTGTGTGCCACAACTACTGAAGCCTGTATGCCTAGAGCCAGTGCTCCACAACAAGAGAACCCACCTCAATGAGAAGCCCCGCACCTCAAAGAAGAGTAATCCCTGCTCACTGTAACTAGAGAAAGCCCATGCACAGCAACAAAGACCCAATGCAACCAAAAATAAATAATAAATTTAAAAAATTTATATATATATATGTATAAATTACATTCTGGAGCTTTGCCACGAATAAGCTACTGATCTGAAGGGAAAGTACTGTTCTGAGATCTGACAGTCACAGATTCATGTGGACTTTTCTAAAAGCAGGTGGCTTCTTCCAACTTTCACTATCACTTTGGATCAAGGTTTACATTCCCTGCAAGTAAGGCTCGTACATGACCCCCTTCCTCTTAAACCAATCCAACCTCACCCTGGTCCTGTGGATCCTGCTTTTCTCGATTACCGAACAGTACAAGACTACCACTAGAATGTAATCTCCATGAGGGCAGGGGCCTATCTCACTCAAGATCATGTCCTGTGCACCTAGCGTAATGCACGTGACTGTAGGCACTGAAAGGTATTTGTTTAATAAATTAAGTGATATTGGCATTTCCTCATGTCATCAAAATATTCCTAACCCTAATTTTTAATGGGTACCTAATACTTGTGTAGCAGGTTGCATAATGCAGTGCTTTAATTAGAGCAGGGAGAAATGTGGAGGTGAGAACGGACTGGGGGCCGGACAGAGGAGAGGAGCACAGTGAAACACACTGTAGTAACCAACCCAGTGAAAGCTGATGAGAACTTGACCTGGACAGGGGCAGTGGGAACAGAGATGCAGACGTGGGAGAAGAAGCCAGGCTGGTGTCTAATATGTGTTTGCAAAATGTAATAATCCTCTGCTATATGTATTTATGTTCATACAGTTACATGTGAATATATTTATATTTCCCACAGGTACTAAATACTGCCCTTTTGCGTGATCTCATGTAGTAAAATGTATACTCTCTTTGTTCTCTTCCTTCATTCAATGGCGGTTGTTGTTACTGGCAGATATATAGCTTCATGAGAATTTTCACAAAGGTGCAGACTGCTCATTTTAAGATGAGGAGGGAGAATATCATGTTGGATGAAGTTATGCTGCAGTCATTACTGGAACTTCCAGAGCAGTACAATTACGGCATGTACGCCAAGTTCATCGATGACTACGGCACCCATTACATAACGTCTGGAACGATGGGCGGCATTTATGAATATATCCTGGTGCTTAACAAAGAAAGAATGGAAACAGCTGGTAAGTAGAACGGGTGCTTGATGCACGCAGTGTTCGATGCGTACGCCGGACATGGTGTGCAATTTTCCAGGCACTATCAGCCACGCATGAACTCATTTAGCCTCCGTGACAACTCTATAAGGTAGCATTAGTATTATTATTTACAGGGACTTGAGGCTCAAAAGGGTGAAATGACCTGCTAGTAAGCACTACAAACAGAATTTGAACTCAGACTTGTCTAGGTCTCCAGAACCACGTGTTTTCTATTGCACCATAGTTACCTCTTCAATAATAAAGGATCTCTGGGGTTTTGCTATTTAAAATGTTGAAACATTTTAAATATAGATTCTTGGTTAATGGAACTGCCATCCAATCAGTCAGTGATGACAGAAACTTGGAGTCATCCCAGATCCCTTCTTCCCCTTCACCCCTGCAGATCTCTAAGACCCTTCAGTTCTCTCTCCTGAGCAGCTCTTGTCAACATCCCTTCTTCTGCATCCCCTCCTACAATGGTAGGCTGGGTTCCCATCTTTCACTTACTACTGCATCATCTCCTAAATGGTCTCTAGGGGAAGATTCACCCCTTCCAATCCATTCTCAACAACTGCCACCAGAAGGATCTTCTGCTTCACAGATCTTATGACATCACCTCCTTGCTTAATATCCTGACTGGCTAAACTGAAGTCTAAACTCCTTAACATTGACATCAACAATCTTCATGATCTCACTCCAAACTGCTAGAACAGTGGTTCTCAACGCGTGGACCCCAACAAACAGTGTTAGTGTCACCTGGGAACGTGTTAGAAATGCAAATTCTCAGGCTCCCATCCCAAATCTGCTAAATCAGAAACTCTGGGAGTGGGCCCAGCAGTGTGTTTTGACAAGCCCTCCAGGTGATTCTGATGCTTAATACTGTTTGAGAACCACAGATCCAGTCACCGGCTGAGTAGAAGGGCGAGAGGTGTATCCATATTTCAAAGCCAAGTTCAACTTCCAAGTTTCAAGGAGTCTCCCTGACTCCACCAGCCCAGGCTGGCCACTTCCTTCCTTCAACACATTCATATCAATTCCACACTGCTTAGTCTTTAAAAACAATTTTCCAAATGTTAATATTTCTCTCCTACTCTAGATAGCAAGATCCTTGAAAGCAAGCATCATGTCTGACAATTTTCCACCTCTTTAGCACTCAATGCAGGGTGAGCGGGCAAAACAAGACATGGAGTTTGAAAGCGGGCATTAACTTAGATTCCTGGCTAGGGTCATTCATTAACTCATCCATCTATTCATGTATCCATTCTTTTATAATTCAAATGTCTATTGAGTATCTATTATGTGTTTGTGCTAGGGATACAAAGGTGAGCAAATCTAAATACGGTCCTTAACATCTTGTAGCACAATACAAACTGCAGATTGAAACCCAACAGTAGGTCTTTTTTTTTTTGAGTGGGAGAACTTTACGGGTTTTTTTTCTTGAATTTTATTTTATTTATTTATTTTTTACATAGCAGGTTCTTATTAGTTATCTATTTCATACATATTGTGTATATATGTCAGTCCCAATCTCCCAATTCATCCCAGCACCACATCCACACCCGCTGCTTTCCCCCCTTGGTGTCCATACATTTGTTCTCTACATCTGTGTCTCTCCAGTAGTAGGTCTTGATATCAATGTATGGAACACAAACATTTTGAACAACACAGAAGAGAATAAAAAATATCATAGTGGGTTGTAGGTAGTGAAGATAAATTATTGCTTCAAGAAAATTTTGCCAGTTAAAGACATGGACAGAGTCATGATACAAAATAAATAGTTCAGGAGAGATCAGTGTAAAAAGAGTTTGAAAAAGTTAATTCAAGTGGATCTTTTTAGAGTCACTCAAAAACATGAGGAAGGAAAAAGAGCTAACATTTGCTGAGTACTTACTAAGTTCCAGGACTGTTGCGTACATTCTCATTTAATTTTCTTGACAACATTTGGAGGTTAGTGTAATTCTAGTTTTAGCCCCAGAAAGGCTGAGGCTCCTTAGGGAAGTTAATTACTTGGCCCAGGGCTGCAGGAAGCTGGCGTCAGAGCCCTGGACCTGGGGTCTTTCCACCACATGGCTGTGGTAGACCCTTTCATTTAGGCTCCGTCTTTGGTGGTGGATTACTAATTAATTGCCTGGGGTATCTCGAGCCCCTCCTCTTTAAAATCTGTGAGGCAGAAATGGGCTTCCAATGTGGTTAATATTCAAAAGGAGCCCACTAACGAATTGTCCCAGGGATAATTACCTCAGCTCTGTTTATAGAAAACCATATGTCGATAATAGCACAATTTGCTATTTGGGAAGAGCTGATTTTCTATAAATCCGGAAGGTTAGTGTTGCTTTTCTATAAATATGGAAATGTGCTAATCATCACCTCATCTGCTGGAGACTGCTAATAAATCAGAATGTCATTTACATATTAACCTACAAAGAACAAAAACATCTACCTTCTTTCCCTTTGACAAATAGAATCATGCACACCCTTCTATGTTTGATGTTTGTCTAATTTTCTCTTTGTCGCTTTCTCATCCTCTCTCTCACTCCCTTTCCCCTCCCTCTCTCTCTCTCTCTCTCCTCTTTTTCAATGTCTTTTTTCTCTCTGTGTATCTTTGATCTAATGACTTTAACAATATTTATATTCTATCAAGTGCTTGTTTCTAAGAAATACCCCGTGTGGTATACATTCATGTCCTCAAAGAGCTGAGCTTGGAATGGAATGATTTAAGTGAACACACGGGCTGGTTTGCTCTGGGGGGATCTTTTGTCCTTGGGTTTGCCTCAGATTCTCTATGGGTTCATCCCAGAGGATGCACAAGGCTGTTTTCTTCTAATGTGTTCTTTAGATAAAATGCTTCTCCCCCAAAGAGAGCATGAAACCATCCATCAAAAATCAGGGGATGTCTTGGATGTTGGGGAGGTGATGTTAGACTTCAGTGGGACCCTAGACTTTCCTCAAGGGCTGCTGCTGACAGCTTTCTACCTTCTACAGGAATCAGTATGGATTGGGGCTTGAATTTCTGGATTTAGATTTTTTTTTTCTCCTTCATCTCTTCTTTGGAGCTCCTATTATTTGTCTTTGTATAAAGATCTGACAAAGAGAATAGTGCATTCACCATCTGGCTGCTCTGGAGTCTGGCCCTATTACAGAGCTGATAATTTACCTAGGACAGGGCAAGTACTTCAGTGACACCATTCTATTCATGTACGTTTCCTTCCTTCTTTTGCACATGCTGTGCTGTCAGCCTCCAAAGCACTTTCCTGTCTTGCCAACCTGACAGATTTCAACTCATTCTTTTGAACTTGTATGGGCAGCCCCACCTCCCTGAAACCTGCCCTGATATTCCTCTGCACATTCTTCCATAGTTTTGTTCGTTCAGACATGCATTCATCAACCATGTTAACTGAGTTTGTATCATGTGCCAGGTGAACAAAATCGACATGGTTCCGGTTCTTGCAAAGCTCACAATCTAGGGGAGGAAACTAAATAAACAGCCAAAACCCCAGATGTCATCCTTGGTTCCTCCTTTACTTCTTGCCCCTCATCAGTGAGACCTGTCATCTTTACTTCTAAAGCATATGTGGCATCTGTCCACGTCTCTATTACCATCGAACTGGTCCAAACAACTATGATCTCTCATCTGGCCACTGCTAGAATATGATGGCTTTTTTTCTTTTCTTTCTCTTTTTTCTCTTTCCTTTCTTTCTTTCTCTGTGTTCTTTTCTTGTTGTTGTCATCGTTGCTGTCCCGCTCACACTCTAACACAGCAAGCTTATTTTAGCCTACAGCCTTGGTACTAGCTATTCTCTCTGTCTGGGCTATCCTTCTCTCTGATGTTTGCATAGCTGTATTCTAATCATTCAGATCTCAACTTAAATGCCCCCTCTTCAGAAAGGCCTTTTCTGACCATGTGGCAAGTCCCTCTTTGTTATAGCACCCTATTTTAATTCTCAGAACATCACTATATATTCTGTAATTACCACACTCACATGCTTATTTGTTTATTGTCAACCTCCTCCTTCTAGTATGCATGTTCCATGAAAGCAGGGGTCTCATATGTTTTGTTCACTGTTATATATTCATCTCCTAGAACAGTGTCTGGCCTTAATAACTCCTGTTGAGTCAGCTAATGAATAGATACATATAAAATTGCAAACTGTGATAAGAGCTGGCTAGAAAATGAACAGGTCGTAGAAATAGAGAATAACTGTGAGAGGAAAAGGAGAAGACAATCACTTAGTTTAGGGTTATCTGGGAAAGTGTCTGGGATTAACTGGGATAAGGTCCAAAAGATATTCAGAAGGAGACTCCAAAGACAAGAAAGAGGGAGGATGTCCTGGGCACAGTGGACAGCCTGCCATGTTTGAGAACTGAAATAAGCAACGTGTGGCTAAAGCCCGCGGGTGAGGGGAGGATGGAGGGAGCTGAGGTTGGAAGAAGCTGCAGAGCGTCTTGCTGGTCATGGTAAGAAGTATGGACCATGTCTGCAGTGAAACGGGAAACCACTGCAGGGTTATCAGCAGGGCACTGCCATGGTCTAATCTCTGTGTCAGCAGGTCGTTCCACTACTATACAGAGTACAGATTACATGCGTTGAGAGTGGACTCAGGGAGCACGGTTAGAAGACTCTTGTTGACGTCCAGGTAGGGAATAAAGAATGGAGATGAAAGAATATGGTTGATTAGGGACATATTTTGAAAGCAGAGTTTAGATAATTTGCAGATGGCCTGGGTGTGAATTGTGAGGTGTACTCTTTCTACATTACATTACATTATATTTACATTATATGATATTACATTACATTACATTATTTTCCTTCTACATCATATTTCTAACACACACACACACACACGCACACACACACATTAGGGCAAGAAGAACATGATGAGTTTGCCTGGGAGGGCCAGCTTCCCGGGAGAGATGTCTCTCAAAATGCAACATGAAATAGAGTTTCTTAGCAGTTAAGGAATCTAAGTAAATCTGATAAGATACCTCCA